ACGATCTGCACTGTCATCACAGCAGTAGGATCAGGAATAAGAATTTCTCTTCTTCATTGGTGTCGCTGTCTTTCATAGGAATAGTGCGCCGTCCCATTCCACTGACATGGTAGTGAAATCGAACTTGAATCTAGTCAGAGAGAATGTCTCGACCTATGATCATGTCATACGCCCCCAAGCTCTTGGTGACGTGTAAATCCACTCGATAATTCTATCTTCGTGGAATTCAGGAATCATGAATGCACCTTTGCACTCGTGCTGGTGTTTAATTCTCCTGCAGGGGTAGTCCACATGTTTTGGACGCCCCCAAGATCTTTCATGCTAATTTCTTAGCTTGAGTTTGAGCAATCAATTCCGGATGCTTTGTATCCAGTAAGCAAGGGTGTAACGGGTTTTGGTTCCCCTTTTTCTCGCTTGTTAAATCTAACATAGTGATGGGTTTGAGGTCTCTGTCTTGCGACGTTTACGAGGTGGTGTGCCACGGACGAGGTTAACGATGCTGAATAGATCATCAGAGTCTAGTTAGCAGCTTCTAGGCAATCTATCTAATTTGCCGTAGTGTTCATCAGTTGCAAACAATTCTTGTTTACAGTTAGTGAGAATATCTTCATCCATTTGGTATGAGAAATCGGAACATGGTTCGTGAGTCATCATCCTGGCTATCCTCAATAGAGATTTCTCCATCCAAGTGATTGAAATTGATAGAGGAGTTGTCTCATTGTCAGAGTCTTCTGATTTGCGCTTGGCAACATGTTGCGAAGTTTGCAAGTGGTTGCACGATATTCGATCTCTTTTCTTCGTCATTGTCGACGAGAGGAAAAATGGGTTTGTCACGCAACTTTCTCGAAGTTGCGGAACGCATGCTTCCTTGAGCATCTTCATGGTGAAGGAAATAGGTTGAGGGTAGCTGAAGCTATGTGTTTGTAAAAAAATGCACTACGCTAAAAAGCTAGTGTAAAGATCTTTCGAGTGTTTGAGTTTGAGAGAATGAAAGTTATGAGAGAGATTAGAAAGCTATGAAAACTAATCAACGGAGAGAGAGATCATCATCAAGGGATTGTAGATCTGGTCTCCCGCGGGAGACTATAAAGTGTGATAGAGTAGGTTGCGGTAGTAATCCTACGTATCTCCACGATCCTAAAACGGAACGCGTGGAAGATTTGTCTAGCATGGATCTAGTAGCGTGGAGTACTTCCACGCTGGCTAAATATCTAGAGCGATGTTTCATCATCAACCTAGTATGACTAGAGCGGTCATTGAGAACCCTGTCTCAGATGACTATTCACGAGAGACTCAGTCATGAGTCGAACTCAAACCCTATCTAGGATCGAGTCGCGAATAAGGCTAAGAGCCGTGTATTGCATTCGGCTTTTTTTCAGCGTTGGTCTCCTGTTTCCTCAGTTTGCTCACTACTTGGATCCAATAGATGCAATCCAGCCATTGTATAGCCAGCTACGGTACCGTAGGCAGAGAGTTACATCGATCCGTGACAGTGGCAACAGTACCGAACACACTCAGGTTCCGCTTTACTGGCTACACTCCGTTACCGGTACCTTGCATTGAATCCTTATGACGAATACATACACAACCGAATATTGTCAATCCAGCCATCGTAGCCAGTTACAGTAGAGTTACATCGATCAGTGACAGTGGCAACAATACCGAACACACTCAGGTTCCGCTTTACTGGCTACACTCCGTTACCGGTACCTTGCATTGGATCCTTATGACGAATACATGCACAACCGAACATTGTCAATCCAGCCATCGTAGCCAGCTATCGTATAGCTAGTGGCAGCAGGACTTGACTTGCGCATACAGGAAAATGGGTACCGACACAGGAATCACCACCAAAACAGTAGGAAATAACAAGAAGGGATGAATCAGGTAGGAGGATCCACTCTCTTGTGTGTTGTTGCCTCTTCCGGTGGCTGTTGCCTTTCAATGACTCGACGACAATAGGCTCCTCTGTTCAGGCTGTTGGTAGGGCTGGAGTTAACAGAGCCTCCTCCTCCGTAGCGGTAGCCTCTCCTCTTGTTATCCGGAGCGATCGATCGTCGACAATGGTAGTTCCTCGGCCGTCAGCAGTAAGAGAACAGAAAGTAAGATATAGATATGGTTTTCTCTTCTATTCTGATACTGTGGACGACCGGAGACTTACCCTTGTTTTTCAACTTGGCCGTCATGGGCCGAGAAATGATTGCCTTCCTGCGGTCCATAGGATTGAATGAGGGATGGCTTTCGAATCTGCACCGGAGACGACCGGCTTGAGTGAGGTTTGACAATAGAGATAATAGAGGTGCGACCGACCGATCGATTCGAATAATTAAAGAACAACTCACCTGTTGACGGCCGAGCTTAGAATTCTCTCCTGAATACCATAGGAATACAATGAGGGAGAGAAGTCAGCGCTGTACCTTCAATTAACACTCTTGATAATAGGCTTACCTCATTGCGATCGATTCAACTGAGGCCGATTGGATAAAGCACTCACCATTGTTGTCGGCCAAGCTTGGATTTACCTCCTGTTTACCATAGGAATTCAATGAGGGAGAGAAGTCACTGCTGCGCCTTCAATGGTGGACTCCAAGCCTGTAGCTAGAAGCGGCAGCAGAGGTGCGAGGATAGTGAGGTACGAGTACCGGTACTGTTTATCCTTAACCTTAGTAACTTCAACGGTTCTTTTTATCCACGAATCGATCTAAATCTTTCGAAGAGAACCTGTTACTTAACGATACACATGACCGTTGATTCTGCAACTGAAGTGCGGGTACTCTATTTTACACAGTAAACGCCGGCAAATCGATTCCAGAGTGCTACTGAGGGGGTAACCAAAAGGAGCGTGGTCTGGGAGACCAAATTGATGTTGCTTCGTCCATCAAACAGTTTTAACAGTCACCTGGACTGACTCTCAATCCTGCCACTATGCATAGTACGATGCATCATGTCAAAAACCGATGAGTAGTGGTAATGATATAGATTGGTGCGCTACTACTATGCCAAAAGATCAAGTTATTATATCTTTCGACTCTCCAACATCACCTTGATGAGCTTGTGCAACATCGGAAGTCCTACCGGTACGAGTATCTTGTGCCAAACCTGATCCAGTAGCGTTCTAAATGTGTCCCGAACATTTTTGGAAGTTGCTTTATTAGATCCAGATGGACCATACCGGAACCACTCAGGTATCTGCCGAGCTATGGTAGCTAGCTACGGTATCTAGCTACGGTAGCTACGGTAGCTACTGGTGGATGGATGGTTGGGAGGGATGTCACCAAGGAGCCAAGCTTAGGAGGGCAACAAGCGTTGTGCCGTGGACGTGTTCATGCGGTCACACCCATGCCTATTGTTAACCATCAAAGCGTCTTATCAGGGACCCATGCATTTTAGTCATGACGTTCGGGATTGCTGTAGCTGGGGGGAGCGCTGGTTGACAGTGAGCGTAGTACTTGCTGCCTGGACCGAAGAGAAGCTGCATGGATGGAAAGATGGGTGGATGGATTGGGAGCTCTCCAAGTCCCAAGTCCTCACCTCACAAAAATTGAATCCAGCAACTTAAAAAACAGAATCCACTACCGATACAACCAACCAAAGACAAGAAATGAAGGTGACCACTCTCGCTAAGGTCGCCCTTTTTGCGCAAACCTGGTTGTTGTATGGCACTTCGGCTTGGATGTGTGCAGCAACTGCCAGGAAAGTTTGAAGGATTTTTCACATCCTTTTGTAGAAGGCAATGGCATCCGGACCGCGGAGAAGACGTGCGGCTTTGGTAGAAAATTCGTGCATGACTGGGAATGCATCATTGAGGACACTGCCAATTAAAAAGTGCAAAGTCAGGGCTAAATACGCCCCTTGCAATTTCTCCCGTTGTTTCAAACATGTCAAAATTACAATCAAGTCAGCTTGCTTCGAAGAAGAAGGCTATTTTCACGATGGTTTTTCTGTTGCTGTTCGGGTTGCCAGCAATTCCGACAATCACCATCAAATTGCTGACTGCAGTGATAGCCAGCACATCCTCGCGAAATCTGTCTGTATCAGTACCAACGAGTCGCGAAAGCAGGTCGGACAGAACTTTCGCTACAGAGACACGGGCGACTTTTCAGGCTCATCTGATTTTCCCGTGCAGCGATTGCCCACTGGAGTGGATTGTCGGTACGCAACCGGCAGTGGCACTATAGTGGCCTTTGCCTTTTGTAAACGTGCCTCCTCTAACAGCGCATCCCTTCGAGAGGCGCAAATTGTGAAACGTATTGGTTTTCATGACAATTCAGGCTCAGGCTCATTGAGGGCCCACTGTCCTTCTGGAAAAAGGAAAATTGCTCATCGATGTCACCCAGTGCACGAAGTCACTGGTATAGACATTGGAAGCAGCAATTCGGGCCGATGCGACTTCAGAGCTGGTGAAGCCGCAATTGTCGAATCTGAAGTTTTCTGTGTGCCAAACTCTTCGACCTTGTAAGAGTAGTTACTGGTAGCGTACTGGTACCATGTCCCAAAAGTCGTCTTTGTCATACGGTGGCTGGAGCATAGTCCGTAACAGTAAGTCGTCCCCGTAAAGGCCAATGTGTGGCAAATAGAGTCTCCGGAGAAATAATACAAGATTTCTGTTAAAATTGCTTTTAAAAAAAAATAGCCACCCTAATACAAGTAGTCGAGCTAGCTATTAGCTAGCTACACCGTACAGCCGTAGTACCTACCGTAGTACATGTAGTAAGATCCAAAAAGGAAAAGAACAGTACAAGTGAAAATCCTTCCGTACCGGTGTCATGCTACTAGTAGTTATACCGTACATTGTACTCGTACCGGTACCTGGTACCGGTACTGGACAGTACCGGTACCAGATAGTACCGGTACGGCACGTTCGTACCGGGTTAATTGGTTGAGTACGAGAGCGACCGTAGAACCTACAGCGGCGTTGCTGGGGTGAGAGTAGAGCGCTAACCTTAACGCACAATGCACGACTCGCAGCATGAACGCTTGGTTGGATTTGGATATCAAACGTCCTATCAACCCCAGCGAACCAGCGAAGCATTAAAACAAAGAGAGAGAAAGAGAGACTGCTTGACTCGAAAGAGCTCTCGAAAGCATCAAACAACCCATCAAGCGCTCGCCCAACTACTGGTACCCTCATGACAGAGCCAGCTGCAGGCGATCTATTGCCTCTTGAAATGGGCAGCGCTGGGATGATCCAAGATGAAGCTACTAGTATCGAAGAAGATACAGCTGCCACCAAACCGATGGGTACCAGCACTCTCCCTTTTACTAGTATCAGCCTCGATGTCTGGTCGATGATTTTGGAGTTCCTGCCGGCCCATGATCTGCTAGATCAGGTTTCCAAAGTCTCCCAGCAGTTTGACTCCATTTTGAGAGACGATATCTTCTGGAAATCTTACACCCAAGCCATCGTAGTGAACAACGACCAGAACTGGAATTTCTACAAGAACCAAAAGCTTGTAAATGTTCTACCGTTGCAACAAATGTGTGTCTTTGCTACTGGCCCCACGCATGTTCAACAACCAGAGAAGAGAGGCTTTCGATGCCAACGATCGCAGTCTCTCTTGTATTCCTCCAGTCAAGCTCGAAGTCTCTGGGAGAGAGACAATCAATGGACTTGTTTGGCATCCTCTACCCATCACACACCGCGAGAAGTCATTGAATGCACTCTCTCGCCCGCGATACGCTCTTGGGCCAGCCGACCACTCAGTCCGGGATGGTGGAGTTCCCGGCCGTCCCCTTCTTCCACCAATACGAAAGAAACACTACTCTACAAAACCGTGTACCCACAAACGTACCTCACACGTGTGGCCATTAATCCCTTGGTGGATACCTTTCGTGGCATGGTGTTGGTCTATGGATGGCATCAAACCAAAATTACCGCCTACTGGTTGCCACCCTCTCATTTGGAACAACACCAGCACAAGAAAAAATCACAACAATCACTGACAGACGCACAACGGATTCAAGCATTGTTGCAGGATCAAAGACCCGTCTACGAATCGGCGCTGCTACCGACCAAACAATTGGCACGTCCCGTGCGACTCTCTAGCAATGCTTGGGAAGTGCACGAATTCCCTTCGGGTATCATTGCCAATGTTGTTGTCATTGAGCTGATGGGAAAGAAATCTCGTGAAATGATGGGATACTATGCCTGTGTCGAGCAAGTCCGGATGGAGGGTATCCCGCTGTTGGACGATCGAGAAGCCTTGTCCATGAACTTGAAGACGCTTCGAGGGAGTCGTACTCATCCGTATTGGACCAAAGGATATCACAATGTGGATGACAGTGATAGTGACAGTGACAGCGACAGCCTCAGCAGCGGCAGCCTTAGCGGTAGTGGTTTTTCCAGCGACGAAGACGAGAGTGACGACGAAGATGTCGCCGACAGTGACGGAGAAGGCATGGCAGAAGAGAATGAAGAAGCACAAAGTGACCACGAAGAAGGAGGAATGCGCGTGGATAACAATGCGGGAGAGGGGGAACTTGACGTCCATCCGAATCCTGTGCAGAACGACGACGACGAGGGAGGGATCAACCGCATGTTTCGTAATGACGAGGATGACGGAGACTATTGATCGAAATAGAAAGCCCAAATTCAAATTCAAAATTAGACTATAAACACCATGATCGGCTATTCCAAAAGGCATACCAGTAGCAGGTGAACATTCTACCGTGCCTTTGTTTGCGATCAGTTCTGGACACCGCCGCATTCAGAAAAACTTGAAGCGGTTGCTGTACTTCACGAGTCTGTCAAGTATCGAGAAGTTGAAACCGTACTGATTGTCGCTTGGTCTTTTTGCCTGGATTAATCGCCTGCCCCAATCCAAATGTCGTGTGTTGTGGTCGGTATGATGTACCCTTTCGTAGCTAACGGATGGACACAGCTATCCTGGTGAAGCTAGCTAGACCCTCTTTTTGAGAAATTCCACCCTAGATTCTCCGATATTGACTGGTCCTTGTCTTCGACTTTGAACCTGGAACACTTGTCCCCGACTTGACAAAATGCAATCATCCTTGATCAATTCCAAGACTTGATCATCGTAGAGTGGCACAAAGCGAGCCTCGTAGACTCCCAAATCGCGATAGGTGCCCATAGTCTTGGCTGCCTGCGCGTAACTCCATGTTTTGGAAGCCAGACTATCGTTGGTATCGGTAATTTGTTTCACCTTTTGGTCACGGTCATCCAACAGCTTGGCCGCTTCGGATTGAATGCCCCGTCGTCGCTCTCGTTCCGACTCCAACGTCTTGGAAGTCCACACGCGATGACGAATAAAGAATCGTCCCTTTTCCAACGTAGCACCTTCGTTGCGTTTGACTTGTTCGGGAGACACAAAGCTGCAAACTAAATGGCCATGAGGTGAATTTGGACCCCACGTGATTTCCCATCCTCCACTTTCCAAGGCTATGGGCTGTTCGCCCTTGTCGTTGATAAAAGTCGGCTTCTCCAAAAGCCGACAATCGTAAATCCCCGTGGAATGCTTCTTTCTATCAAGCGACAAGGAATCGCTCAGTTGCACATGCATATCCTTCATTTGAAAGGGACTTTCTTTGTCTCCCACGGCCACGCGGTAGTTCAACAAGTTGGCCGATTCCTCGCCGAGCCTGGACGCCATGGTATCCAGACTTGGAACTGTCACTACCAGGCATCTGACTGGAATTAGAACCAGGGATAGGCTGATAGTGCCCAACAAGGAGGCATAAAGTCGACGGCGACTAGTAGACAGAAGCATCATCGTCGTTCCAAAAAGAAAAAAGAAAAAAATGAATGAAGTTCGAAAGAAGCAAACATAGAGAAACTGGATCTTTTGAAGCGTGCGTCAGCGGATCTTTGAAGTTCTGTTTGACACCACAGCTTTGCTGGCTATCGGTACCAGTTGGTATGTCGTCAACAACAACGTGTCAACAACCGCCATGTCTGTCAATGCAACTCCTGACTTGGAGGTTTGGCTCTGTCAAACAACAGTACCATTAGCTATTAATAGTAGCTAAAGTTAGCAATCTCACTTTTTGCTATTCTTTTTAGATGCTCCTATCAAGCGTGGCCAACTACTGCACGGTGTTCATCTTGGAGCTAGCTAAAAATGAAGAAATGGAAGGGCTCTGGCTGCAGTGAAGCAACCTCCTGGCATCAAAAGAGCCACTTCGTACCCTCCCAAAAACTAGGCGTATGATGGCTTTGAAGCCAGGTTCTTTGGGTTTTTCCTTGGCAATTACACAAGCCATGGTGCATTTCTCTTTGCCAATTCCGAAGGCAGGACATTGCCAATAATCTCCATGATGTTAAGAAATTGCTCAATGTCAAATCAAGCTGCATGCAGACTGCGATGTAATCGCCACATCTACCGGTGGCATAGTCACAGTACCTTGATAATATATATCGTGACGAGTGAAGTGCTCCGTTTTGTCATGCCGCATCTTCCTTTCTTTTCTTTGAGGCTGTACATACGGTGACCTGTAGCACAGTGACGATCACATTACGACGTGCGTACAGTACTGTACCATGTCAGATGTCCCAAAGCATCGGCTCGAAAGCAAAAGGAAGGCTGGTTGAAGTACCCAAACTACGGATATGTGAATGGCACGCGCACCATTGGTCAAGCATGTCTGGAACCTCAAGTAAGTCCTGAAAGAGTGATACCCGCATCCTCGCCAACTAAGCGGTGTGATCGGATTTCCTTCTAAGCAGACCGCCACAAATAACCGTCACAGAAACCGCTGAATCCGAGAATGATAAAAAGTGTAATGACTGGCAGGCTTATCGCGAGGGGAGTTTCAAAATGCCTAATTACTTTAGGGCTCTCCCGCAGCATTTACAAACTCGCTGAAATGTAGATAACTTGTATTCAGCTCTGAGGATGAAGCATAGGTGCTCCTCGAGTATGGCGAAGATAGAACAAGCCTTGGCCACATTTTCATTGTGAGTTTCGCTCCCTTTCGTCGCTAAGAGGCAACTTCACAATTGGCGGTTGGCGTATACACTGCAGCTGTCATACAACAAAAATTTCTTGTTGAATACTCCGCACCTTAGCTTGTAGCCCGTTTTTGCTTAGTTTGAATCCTGTGGGAGTGCGTTGTACGATCGATAGAAAATGGCGGACGGAGCAACAAGCACTGATAAGAATGGGATCGAAAAGATCAACGAGAGTATGGCCAAGATCGGCTCGATGCTCGGCATTCAAAAAGTGCAGAGTAACGACAGCAGTTTTGCCGACTCCAAAAAAGATAGTCTGCTCGCACAACAAGACGGTCCACCTGCTGTCATAAGTACAGAATCGCAAGGTTTGCAGCGCATGAACTCTGCCGAAGGTCAAGTAATTACTCCACCCAACAACCACAACGCTGAAATGCCTAGTTCTGACAACTCTATGAAGACCGATCTCACTGGATCTACCAAGCCTACGATGCCTGGACCAACGAAGACTCCTGCAGGCCATGCGCTGGCTTCGGTTGCCGCTGGTGTGGACAATACCGTGCACAAGATGAACAAGTCCTTTCGCAAGATCAAGGAGTCCATGGAGCAAGCGGTTGAAGGCGCATTCAAGGCCGAGGAAGGAACTTGCAAGATGGATAACGCGGGCACTACCTGCCGCTCAGAAAGGGGAGATGGAGCCACTGACAATGCCACGGCCGTAACACCCATTACGCAGTATGTTAACATTGACAAAATGTCCTCGCCATTGCCGCGAAGGATGCCCAAGTGGGCTTACATTGCTGGCATTGCTCTCTTGGCGGTCGTGGTGGCTATTGGTATCACCATGTCTGTCCCTGGATCAAAGTTGAACCGATGGTTCACCAACATCAACGACGACATTGCAGCCGCAGCCGATGAGAATGTTACCGTCGCCTTTATTGGAAACTCCTACCTCTACGTCAATGACGTTCCACGTGTGATGGAGTGCATCAGCCAAGGTCGCGTCGCACAAGAGTCGGTCATTAACACTGGTGCTGGTTTGGGATCTCTCTTGAAGCAAGGAAACGGTATGTCTCAGCTCTGGCAAACTCAAGGCGCACTTGACTTTTGGGGCACTTGGGACTTCAAGGCAATGATGCAGTTGTACGACATTGAAGTTGACGAAGACTACCAGCTCTTTGATTACGGAATGTGCACTGTCCCACAGCTATTGGAAGGCTACGATAACTACTTGTCCTACAGGAACCAAAATGGAATCTACTTTGACGTTGGAACCAACCCCTGCTTTGAAGATCAGTTCTACATGACCATTGTGGGGCACAAGCATGACAAGGAACCATTGTACTTTGACTATGTGGTCCTCAACGATCAGACTCGTCGTATGGCAAGCGAAGAAGGCCGCGGAGACTCCATTGATGCCTTGGTTCAAGCTTACGCTCCGCTGCTCAAGAACTCTCGAGCCATTCCTATCATTATTGACACCCACGCCTTTGTCTTTGATAACGAAGTCAATGTTAACGAAATGTACTACCAACAGGTCTACGGCCAAGAAGGCGAAGATGAAGAGGAAGTGGAGGAGGAAGACATGGAGGCCGAACAAGACTACGCAAACAACTATAACTACTACGCTGCGGATGAGGGCGGGGATGCAAACGGAACCATGATGGAACAAGGGGACTACGAGATTGATATTTCGGCAGATATTCCAGCCTTCCAAGCCGCCATCTACGAAGGACTCTTTGAGTATGTTGAAGCCTTGAAGTACTACCTTCCTTCCAAGCAAATGCCCAAGATTGCCCGCATTGGTTTGGCCTACCTCGCCATCTACGATGATAACAAGAACATGTACCAGAAGCTCTTTGCGGAAGATGGCATTCACGCGTCTCAATCTGGAACTTACCTGTTTGCTTGCGTCCTTTACTGCACTATCTACGGCCACTTGCCACTGCAACCTCATGATGACTTTGACATTCGATCAGTCTTCTTCAAGTCACGGTCCACGTTTGGCAACAGCACTGCACCGAGCATGAGCGACGTTAGCTACCTGAGATACTGGGCACGAAAGGTGGCTGTGGATGGGTACATTCCCAAATCCATGGTCATGCCAACCTATGAACTGGAGAGCGAAGAATCGAGGGACGCTGACTGGTGGAACCGAACTGTCTATTGCGATGAAGTTGAAGACCAACAGAACAACAATGGCCAACAGAATAACAACGGCCAACGACGCCGTCACCTTGAACAAGATGGAGACGTTGATGAAGAGCAGGAGGCAGAGGTTGAATGCGTGGAGCGCGAGCAAGAAGCAGATATGGATGGATATTAGAGAGAACAGTAAGGCGGCAAGGTACCAATCCAATCCATCCAAACTGGACCCCTGCACATATACCACAACTTGGGTTTTGATCATGGGTCCGTCACTCTCCTTTATGGAAGGGAGAAGGGGGCAATCTTGACCCAGTGTCAGTCACATTGTGCTTGAACAATTTGTATTCCGTTTTTCAGTATTCATTCATTCTATCTATCATCATCTAAAGTAATTAAAAAACAAGCGAAAAACTAAAGCGCATTGCACGTTCACAGCATAGAAAGGAGCAAATTAAAGTTGCAAGCAGCGAGGATCGAAGAACAGAAGCCTCCAATGTCTACTGTACCGGTACTTCTTTTAAGAAAGTAGCTCGCTCCAATGTCTACTGTACTTTAGTAGCTCGCTAGCTAGCTAGCCGGTAAAAGCAAAGCAGTTTGCAACCATATGCAGATGCAGGTACTCGTACCGGTAGTGCTAGGGTTGCGTAGCAAAAGGGGCTGCGGATCCTCTCCGCCACTTGCCCTTGGATGACAATGAAACTTTCGCAAAAGCCTACCCATCGCGTCTTGGGCCCAGTGCAGTGTTTGGAATCCAGCAGTTGTGCATGTACGGTGCCGCCTCGCCCGCTTCTGTTCCCCAATCAAGTTGTTATCGAATACGAATCTGGCACATACCCAATCTTTGTATCACCGTTGACCAGAGAGCACTGTGTGAGCCACAACCCTGTCCATCATGTCATCCACAGTGTATCCGTGCAGCGCCTGAGGCGGAGGCATGCAGGACGATGACACCACGAAGCTTGCTAGTGCGAACACATCGGTACTACTAGTACTTCTAGAGCTCTACAGGTACATGTGTTGTAAAGGATGGATGTTTTTATAGTGTAAAGAGTGGTACATGTAGTGTGTAGTGCAGCCATCTATCCATCAAGCTGGTACGGTATCAAACGATTCCATCCGCGCTGAGAAACTGTTGAACGGGGCGGTTTCCCGTCTGGCTTGCCTATTCTTGTTGCTGCTTTCGCTTCATCTTTCGGGCGGAAGCGGCAGCAGCCAGCTTGGGATTCTTGATTTTCGTTCGTGTCATCTCGAGGACGAGTCCTGGATGATCTCTGTGGAACTTGGGATGCTTGTAGATGCTGTCAGTGCCAACTTTGATTCGTTTGAAGCAGTATAGGTTGACTTGTCTTTGAAAGCTGGAGAATGTGGAAGACTTGAAGTGCCTCGACAAGTACTCTCGAACGAACGCTTTTGGGTCATGGACAATGAATCCTGATCCGTCTGGGACGAAGGAGGCAACGTCACCACGTCCTTCCTGCTCGATGGTGCAGAGAATACTGTGCAAAGTCGCAGGGAATTTGATGGCTCGTCCCTTGCGTGGCTTGCCCTTTTCCGCACCTTCCACACTGTCTTGGTCCTCCTCCTCTGGTGGTTCCCCCGGGGCGGTGCTCGTGTTCGAGATGGTGCCTCGTGCAAGCTGAAGTAGTGCGGCAAGCTGGGTGGAGGGGGCATTTGTAGTTGCTGCTTGGGGAGCGTATGTGCTCCTGCTGTGAGTGGCGTTGCCGTTGTCCCCTTGTGCGACCGCCATCGCGGCAGCCAAGGCTGGAGCCTGTGAGGCAGATAGACCAAGTCGTCGGCATGCTTCGAGAGCAGACAATGCAGGGGGAGGCAGTGTCGGAGCAGACGCTGACATGGACGTGAGGGCAGAGGCGGGAGGAGAAGGACGACTGGTTTGCATGTGGTGATGACCAATAGCGGGTTGCTTTCGATCAACTTCCTCTTGATCTTGTTGGTGCAGCTGATTCCTCTGCTGTTGCAGCATGAGGAAACGAGCGATGCTTGCTTGAAGGTCAACCTGGTCATTCACATCTCCAGAGCCGCTATTGTTGAGGACGGATGCTGCAGCAGCAGCGGGTGTGGACGCGGTCATGCCCCCTGCATTCGCCCTGCTATTGAGCCATTGCAGCAACGGGTGCTCCGCACCAGTACCGGTACTGGCAGTAGTGCTGTCCGCAGCAGCGGCCGCAGCCAGGGCAGGAGCAAGTGCAACGTTCTCGCTTGGTTGAGCTTGAGCTTGAGATTGACTCTGAGCTTGTTTCTTGGCCCCATGGGTTTGCAGCAGCCTAAGTAATTGCAAGTTGCTCACTGAACCTGAAGGGGGAGCTGCAGCGGAACCTGGCACTGACGCCTGCACAGCGGGGGCTGGAGCGCTGGGAGCAGGTGCGGACGGAGCGGTTTGAGCAGCTTGCAAGAGTGCGAGAGCTCGGAGTTGTGTCAGCTCCACACTTGCATTTGAGGAGAGCGCAGATCCGCTTCTGACATTGTACTGCCCACCAGCTTCCTGGATGCGCCGCAGCTGAAGCTCGAGCAGCTGAGACTCCAAGCTACTGGTAGTATAGTTACTAGTAGCAGCGGGTCCAGCGGGTCCAGGGCTAGTACTAGGACCAGCACCAGCGGAAGTGCCAGTGGTACCGGTACCATGACTGGGGTTTCCTGATGAAGAAGTCAATTGCAAGAGAGATTGAAGTTGTGCTCCAATGTTTGGGTTAGCGCCATTGCCAATACTACCTGTATTGCCAGTGCTGAAGGCTTGGGCTCTCATCAAAGCCATCACTTCCTCCGGGGTGAGATTCAGGTTGCTCATGGTTAAATTAGTTCTCTTGATTAGAAAAACGACAGGCTCAAGAATTTGATTTCGGTTTATGCTATGTCGATGGAGGGTTGAAGAGTTCGGAGAAATGGTTGAAATGCGAATGTTGAGCTTGTGGTGGTCAGCCTTTTTTGTGTGCCTCAACGAGACAACTCCTTTCTTTGCTTTGCTTTTTGCTTTTTGCTTCTTCGCTTCTGCGAATTTTCTTGAAGTGGCAGCCGGCGGAAGCTGGTATGTTTTAGTTCTTCATCTCAGCGATCAACGGTGGAAAGTGTGGAAAAGCAAAGAATCTGATTGACTCGACTCACTCGATGATGCCATGGACGACATGGAACCAGCAGAAATCCACGAGTACCGGTACTGAGAACTGAGAACTGTCATGGCTTCCGCGGCCGCCTACCGTTGTACCGGTAACGGTATGACCTACGACAGTATGCATAGTAGCTTAGACCATTGTGCTGGACTGTCATACCACCGGTTAGTGGCTACTGGAGTAAATTGTAAATTACTGTAATAAAGTAATAAAGTAAAGATGCAACTATTAATACGAGCGACGCCTATTAAACCTTGCTGTTTCATCTTCGTGCGCACTTTGTTCCAGTCGCGATCACTAAACCTCAATTTTTAAAACACAAATGAGCAGAGCTCGAAGACTCAGTAGCGTTGGTTACCTACCAGGCTAGTACCGGTAGGCTAGCTAGCCAGATGGTACTTTTTGTACTCTACTGCAGACTCCTGTAGTTATAATAGGTACGATACCAACAATAATAGATAGCCACTCGAGTAATCGTGGCTCGCTGGCTAGCTACCGGTACCGGTACCGGTAACTACCCCTAGAGCTGGATCCAAAATATCTTATGAGTGAGTACTAAACTTCACTTGTACAACTCAGTGTAAAGTAAGTTTTCTGGAAATGGGGAACATAAGTTAGAGCATTTATTTTAAATACGACAGGCTTCCTTTTTTAGGGAAGACAGGCCTCGTCGCTGAAGACTGAAGAAACTTCGTTCGAGTAAGACGTACGGGAGTACTGCTACGGTATTATTAATTAAGTCAGAGGACAGAAAATGTACCAGTAGATATTTTAAACACGGCGTATTTTTCTTGTAGGATAGACAGAACTATCATGAAAAGTTCCAGACAAAGGCTTTTCCTTGAACAGTGAACTATTAGTATTACACATTCTCTGGAGTGTAGGAAATATAGTATCAAAAAGTATTAAAGAGAGTCATTATGACCTTAGTCTCGCTCTGGCAGAGTTTCTTTGGGGTTCGCAAAACTTAAATGTAAAGTCCCTAAGAGTACTACATGTAGTACGTATAGTAGTTCGGGGACAGGGGGTAGAGAGCACTACATACAGCCTGTGCATATGAACAGGATTTTTAGAGAGCCAGCCTGCAGTCAAATTTTGGCCTGGCAGGCGACGCGATTCCTGTGCAATTGTACAGGCGCCGTGATCCTGTGCAATTGTACAGGATCAACGTGATTCCTGTGCAATTGTACAGGATCCGACCTCCTGTTCAATTGCACAGGAAATCTGACGTGCTTCTGCATGCTGGTTGAAGGCAGCAATATCTTTTGATTACCCGAAACCCTTGAGTCGTACAACAAAGCCAGAAGCACGACAAGCGTTGACAAAATATGGTGCAAGCGTTTTGGTGCAAGCGTTTTAGTGCGAAACTCAGCAGTATTCGTAGAGAATTCCTTTGGGAGCCAGTGGACAATAGCAGTGTTGGGCTCCGATCGGTTGCGAGTATTGTGACCGAAGATTGATTTGTCTCCATCGTCTTTGAGAGAGCTAGCTACTTGAATGATTACGGGTGGAGACGTCCATACCTCAGCCTGCGAGATAGCAGGAGCGTTCCTCAATCATGCATGAAACCGACCCTAAAATAGGGTCGGATTTAGGGTCAGATTCCCTTTAGGGTCGGGTTTCGAAACCGACCCTAAAAATAGGGACGGTTTCTGAAAAACCGTCCCTAATTTAGGGTCGGGTTTCGATTTAGGGTCGGGTTTGAAAAATGTTCCTATATTTAGGGACGGATTCCCCCAAACCGACCCTAAATTAGGGTCGGATTTAAAGTCATGCATGATTGAGGAATGCTCCAGAGGAGAGTTGATCATCAGCTTGACTGAATGCTGAGGACATGCTTGACTGTAATGCTGAACGTAATGGCAGATCTATACTGTTGAGTTACCCAGAAAAAAAAACGTTACAATTCCTGTGCATTTGAGCAGGACGTCGAGCTCCTGTACATATGCACAGCCTCCTGTACATATGAACAGGCAGGCCGTCCATTTCCTGTGCAATTGAACAGGCGTCGCTATCCTGTTCGATTGCACAGGAAATTGGACGTTTTTGAATTCAGGCCAAAAAAATGGCTGGCCTTGCTCTCAATCTGCGGGCATCCTCCCTGTTCATATGCACAGGCTGTATGTAGTGCTCTCTACCCCCTGTCTACAGTACTGAGTACCGGATGATAGCTCCTAGTACAACACTACTCTTAGTAGCTAGCCAGAGTACCAGTATTTAATACCGGATGCTATGCAATATTTCTATTTATTTATATGCTTTCTATTGGCCGCCATTAGGAGATTGTAAATACTGAACGCGAAATCCATGCTGCATAAGTTCTATTAATACTGTGAGGTTTTCTCAAGGTGGTGGGCGAGAATTAAATTAAATAAAGAACAAGACGCCGACGGCTGTAAGTAACGACGGAATCAAAGCGGGACGAGGTCCATGTCCTTATGTCGGTTTTGAAATTCAAGACGCGCAACCATCGTCTGTTTTTGTCTTTGGTGGAGCGACAGAATGACTCGACTCGACTCAGAGACTCGACTCATCACCAGCTCATCACCCCAGAATTCCCTCATTCAAGCCCAGGTTCTTGAGCAAGTGTGCTACCACCAGTAGCCGCTAATAGATTGAGGGGTGGGGGTGGGAGTTGCCTGACGTACAAGCAGCTCTACTATTTAATTACTTACTTTGAGGATGGTACCAGTACCAGCACAAATTGAAAATTTGAAGAAGCACAGCAATACTCCAGTACACTCCACCCTCAACTACAGCAGCAAAATATATATCATAAATACTACCAACTGAGATGAAAGCTGATGAAGTACGGTACTCACTGGTATCTTCTTTGAAGGTTTGCCTGCCTGGCATGATCCTCTTGTCCCAACTTTGTTATACTTGGTGGAAAGGTGTATCCCTTTTGGAGGCATAAAGTTTTGCTTTTTCAGAACATATTCCAATGCATTTTGAAGCCACTTTTATTAACCTATTATTATAGCGCAGCTATACTTAATCAGTATGATAGAGTATGATAGCTTTCTCATGTGAAAATTCTGCGTATCTTTAGTATCTCAAACCCTGGAGCGTTCCTCAATCGTGCATGACTTTAAATCCGTCCCTAATTTAGGGTCGGTTTGGGGGAATCCGTCCCTAAATATAGGGACGTTTTTCAAACCCGACCCTAAATCGAAACCCGACCCTAAATTAGGGACGGTTTTTCAGAAACCGTCCCTATTTTTAGGGTCGGTTTCGAAACCCGACCCTAATATTGGTGCGTTTTCAATGTATTTACCACTCAGTCCCGTTTACATTTAGGGACGTTTTTCAAACCCGACCCTAAATCGAAACCCGACCCTAAATTAGGGACGGTTTTTCAGAAACCGTCCCTATTTTTAGGGTCGGTTTCGAAACCCGACCCTAAAGGGAATCCGACCTTAAATCCGACCCTAATTTAGGGTCGGTTGCATGCACGATTGAGGAACGCTCCTGGGCTCCAATCTGATATTTTTAAGATACTCCAGTATCTTATGTCTTGGGGTGGAGTGTTGGTACCATAGTAGGGGTAGCAGCTGGCTTCGCATCCTGTCTCCTTTCCAGTTATTGTTCCAAGTTCCAAACCAGTGGCTTTTTTAGATCATAAATCTTTACTTGCAGTCCGACACGAAAAAGTACATTGAAATGGTCACAGCATCGGGTGGCGCTTTGTTCTTTTTGTGGGCTGAGGGGACGCAACGACGCAACACGAGAAACGAGAACAAACAGCAGTGACAACAACCACATCGTTATCCAGGTCCTTGTCTGTACTTGGTACCACTACTACCAACCGTAAGCAATCGAAGCACAAACTTTGATAAAAGTACAACAGTATAAAGTCACGATGGGGAAAGAAGAGAAGAAACCTCAGCAGGTCAAGGTTGGCTCGAGCGCTGAAACTGGTGCCTACGAGAGAGGAACGGGCAAGAAGGCTGCAACGGCACAGCAAGAAGACCCTTCAGACAGCAATTCGGTCCTGGACTTTGTACGAGAGTACGCCGATGAGTCTTCGGGGTTCATGCTCGATCAAGAAGCCAAGATGTTGTGTGCTTGCGATCCTCCTCCCTCTTCTACTACAAGCACTGCCGCCAAGAGAGCTACAGCCATTGTCAATGTACCACCAAGGATTGCCAAGAAGCATGTTCCGACATCTCCCGTTTCTCCCAGGGCTTTGTCTAGTAGTGCCGAGGAAGCACCAGGGTCTCCCGTGCCACCTGCCGTGCCTCTCACTCGAAGTGCTGTGGCCCAATCCTTGCACCGTCAGACACGTCCCGGTGCCGTTGCCATTACGCCTTCGAGCAGTGGAGACTTTTTGGCCGTGGAACAACAACAGCAAGAGTGCAATCAAGATGATGAAAACTACACTGCACCATGGGACATTACGGGATCTATCACGGTGCCAGATGCTGCCGTGCAACAAGTCTTGTTGGACGAATTCGATAACACGAGTAGTACTAGTACTAGCTCGGCAGATGATGCAACATCTACTACCATGGCCGTCGACCTCGAAGCCATTACAGCCGAGTTGGTCGACGAAGATGCATTGCCCGAAGAGGCGCAACGAGAAATACATCGTCTGCGCCATCAAGTGTCTCAGTTAAAGACACTCTTGGCGCAACACCAACTTCAACAACAGGAACCCACGGCCATTGTATTGGCCGAAGCGATCCACCAAACATCGGCAGCCAATTCCAACAGTGTGTTGGCAACCACAACGACGACATCACGACAATTGGATCGACCCAAGAAACAACCACTGGGACAACTAGTAGTATCACCCAATAATGAGCTGCATGGAAAGCAAGTTCGAGACACAACGACCAATCCTGAGAATGATTGTCACAAGAGAGCGCTTCATCATTCCAACCACCATCATCCATTGCAGGGCCGAGACCAGGAAATGCAAATCTTACTTCAGTGTCTGCAGCAGACCAAAGAGCAAAAGCAACTCCTCTTGATCTCGGGATATTCCGGTTGTGGCAAGACGGTGTTGGCAGAATCTCTACGACCCTTGGTCGGTGAGGAGGGTCTCTTTGTTGTTGGAAAGTTTGACCTCTATCTACGCGATCAACCCTACTTTGCCTTTGTGGCGGCATGTGAGCAGATTTGCCATGCCATCAAAAAGAAGATGGTTGAAGACAGCCTCGACCATCCAGACGGATCATTCCGCACCTCTAGTATTGTCGACAAACTCAAGTCTTGTTTCTCGCCTCAAGATATCGCAATTCTCGCCAGTACATTGGTTCCAGGCCTTAAGGAGATTCTGGTAGTAGACCAACAACACCAGTGCTGCTGCGAGGAGGAACAAGGATCCTTGGACGCCAAGAATCGACTGCAGTACCTCTTTCGACTCTTCATACGGACCATTTCCGAATGCTTTGCGCCTCTGGTCATTGTATTGGACGATGCGCAATGGAGTGACCCCTCGTCCTTGGATATGATGCAATCCATCTTGACGGATTGCGAATGCCACAATTTGCTCTTGATTGGACTGTATCGATCCAATGAGGTGGTGGACGCGGAAGATTGTCCAGGCTTTGAAAGTCACCTCCTGACGACTGTTTTAAGGGACCTCAAGGCTCGTGCAGATCGATCTTCATTGACCATTACCGAGGTGGAAGTAGGAAACTTGGCGCCAGAAGCTGTGCATTTGGTCGTCAAGGAGGTCGTCGAAGTATCAGACGACAAAAACGAAGAGCTGCTGGCCTTGTCTGAGCTTTGCCACAAGCGGACAGAAGGCAACGCCTTCTTTCTCATGTCGTTCCTTGCCATGCTGGAAGAGGAAGACCTTTTGGTGTGCGAGAATGGACAGTCTCGTTGGGATATCGAAGCGATCAAATCCCGCACCAGTGCTACTTCCAATATTGTGGATTTCATGAAACAGAAAATGGCCAAGCTGCCACAGGAGTTGTGCCGAGTCCTGTCCATGGCGGCTTGTCTTGGTTCCACTTTTGAACGGTCTCGATTATTGGTAGTTTGGAGCAGCCTGCTGGGACCCAGGGACGATGCTTCGTGCAGTGTGCTACAACAGCAGCTCTCGTTGGCGGTGGACGAGGGGGTTTTAGATCAGTTGGATGACGGGTGTACCAAATACAGATTTGTCCACGATAAGCTACAAGAAGTTGCGTTTCTTCTCATCCCAGAAGGACAATCCAGTGATTTCAAGTTTCAGATTGGCAGCATACTGCTCGAGAACATGAGCGAAGCCGAGAGGCAAAGCAACATTTTTCTGCTGGCCAATCTTCTCAAGGAGACTCCCAAGGATCCGCTGTCTCTCCCAGAAAAACAGCAATTGGCGAAAATTAATTTGCGGGCGACAAGCGAAGCTCTGGCCTGTGGTGCGTTTTCAAGTGCAGCTATTTACGCAGACAAAGGCATCGAGTATCTTCCGAATGGAAGCTGGGAAAGCGACTACAATCTATCGTTGGATCTCTATTCTTCAGCTGCAGAGGCTCATGAAGTTGTTGGAAACTTTGACAGGATGAAGCACTGTTGCGATCAAGTCATTGCGCGTGACTGTCCGATCGTTGATAAACTTCGTGTCTACACAGCACTGACATTACAGATAGCCAATTCTGGGAAACATATGGAGGCTACCAATATCTTGCTGGAAGTTCTTGAGATGTTGGGCATTTCCTTTCCCAAATCAGCTTCTGGTCGTGCCTTTGCGACCATCAAGGCCTTGATCAAATGCAAGATGGGAGTAAAGCACAGAACTCAAGAGGAAGTAGATAAGCTTCCGATTTTGCATGACCGTCAAAAGGTGGAAACCATGAAGCTTCTGGACCGGCTGAGCCAATACTCCTACCTGGCGGGAAGTGATATTGCGGGGCTGAATCTCCTTATCGCCACTGAACTGACACTGAAGTGGGGCATCTCCCCAGTGTCTTCTCCAGCTTTTGCTGCCGTGGCCACGATAATGGTAGGACCTTTGAACGACCTGCAGGGGGGGACCAAAATGGCCAACTACAGCCTGATGCTGGAAGAGAGAATTGGAACGGGCATACCACTCTCGCGATCCAAGATGATTGGAGGCAACATGGCTTGGAGCTGGACTCAGCCTTGGGGTGACGTTGCAAAACTATTGGTCGAGGGCTACGCAGAGGGAATGGCAGCTGGGGACACTGAGAGGTGACCAATGCACCGTTTTCGTGTTGAGATATGCAATGAACATTGACACTAACTCTGCTTGTTACTGTTGGTTCACAGCGCCATGTACAACATCTACTCGTGGCTCACCAACCGGTGGTTTGCCGCTCGGAATCTGCAGCAGATGGACATTGATTTTGACTGCTACACCAAGCAAATGAGGGAACTGAAGAGGATTCAAGCTCTGGACCTCACCTTGCCCCTGTGGCAAGCGATCAGGAATCTGATGGGTTTGTCCGAAGATCCAACTGTGTTGCAGGGTGAGTAAACTTTGAAATGCTGGGCAACATTCTGCTTTCTCGTTATCCTCTCTTTCTCACTCCGAGACATTGATTGAACCGTTCCGTCTTTCAGGTGATGTCATAGCCAACTTTGAAGAATTCGCGAGCACCCATCAACAAAACATTCCCTGGGTCCTGATCACTATGGATATACAAGTAAAGCTGTGCACTGTCTTCTGTGAATATGAAAAGGCAGCTGACAGATTCATTGAGCAAGGGTTTGACTGGCCCAAGGGAAGGTAAGCAAATGGATTGCATTGGATTGCATTGCATGCCTTTTCGCCGCACAATCTCATCTTTTGCTGCCCGATGACACCTTTCACAGTCCTGGTCAACCTTTTTTCATGGAGAATGCATTCCAAGGGGGCGTTGCTTGCTTTGCCATGGCTCGCAGCACCCGAAAGGCAAAGTACAGAAAGTATGCCCTCAAGGCTCGAGCGACAATCAAGAATTGGGTTGGGCAAGGTAATCCCAATGTGAAGCATCATGCAGCATTCCTTGATGCTGAGTATGCCGCTCTCAAGAAGAAGCGAAGCAAGAGTGAAGGGCACTACATGCGAGCAATCTCCCTTGCCCAACGAGGCGGTTTTACGCATGATGTGGCTTTGGCCAACGAACGGTTCAGCCACTTTGTCCGAACGGAATTGAAGGACGAGTTGAGTGCAGACTACTACATGAACGAGGCGATCCGAAACTATGCGGAATGGGGTGCTACCAAGAAAGTGGAGTTGCTCCAAGAACAGTGTCAATCTGTACTGTTCCAAGGACATCATCCATCTGCAATGTTGTCCTGAGAGAAGTTGTCTACTGCAACTATCTGTACTGGAGCGACGGGGACGACAATGCTATTATACGATACATCTGTTTCAGAAACGAGCTCCGGTGATGGTGGGTCTGGGCTGGTCTGGGCTAGCTGGGGAAGCACTGGATGTGCATGGCTTTCAAGGGTGTCGGAGGTTTTCTTCTTTGGTTCTCAGAGGCATCCGAGATGGTGGTCGGTGGGGTCAAGGTTCGTTGCTGAGGACGTGCTCGGAGTCTAAAGGTGACAACAGAGGACAATTTTTGCAACAGATTGCTTTCTTCTCCAAAAGACAAGAAAACCTTGTCAGAGCCTGGCTTGGGCTTGGGCCAATCGCCTTGAGTCCTTCTTTACACCAGCAAAGACCTCTTGATTGAACCCGATAGTAGACTTCGAGTCTAAAATTTCTTGTTTCTAACACCTTCGAGCTGCTTGATTCGTAGAGTCGTCGGCTGATGTGCGGGTTGCATCAACGGGGACTACAGTACGAGGCCCAAACTGATTACATGCTCCTCAGGGTACAACTAGCTAGCGTTAAAAGAAGCCCAATCGATTCGATTGTCATTCTGCTGAGGATCAATTGTTGCCTAGAATTGGATATGTGCCTGCTGAAAAAGGTAACCTAGCTTGCCATGCGGACAGGCAACGTACATGTAGGTACGGTATGCACATCCTACATGCCGCTTGAATTGTACCCTTTTGGACTTTCTAATGTAGCAACTGTATCGTCGATTAGCTTTTTATAAATATCTTATTAGAAATGGGGTAGTATCTCACGACGGTGCTGGTGCTCACTGTCATTGTTGGCAACAGCCAAGCTTTGAACCCATCCCTCTGCAGTTCGCTTTACTACTGACATGAATCTTTTACTGCCCCATTGCTGAATGTCAGTGTGCTTTTTCGAAGCGCCCTCGTCGAACACCAATGACTGCAGAGCCATGCCCGACAAGAAAGTCAGAGCGCCCCCAAAGAAAACCAAGATGGACGGATTCGAGAGCCATTGCTCGTTGAAACCTCCGTTCATGTTTCCTCTGAGATGGGGCTAAAAAATGAACAGAAAGACAGGAAAAGGAAATGAGAAACTAGTCTTCAGTGAGCGAGATTCATCGGATCTAGGGAAGCGTTGCACCTACCGACGCAGCGCTTTGGCGCGAAACATTGTGGACTCCTTGCGTTACAGATCCCGGTGAAGCAGCAGACTGTGCTCGATGCCTGCCTGCAAGTGTTGTTCGTTGTATTGTAGAGCGGAAGTAGTTCATTTTCGTTTGGTATCTGTATACTCTGCTGGTCAAGAAATGTATGAGTTCATTTTAAACCCCTTATTCTCATTTTGGAAGTGTTTCTTGGGTTGACATGTTGCAGCTTGCTTTTCCATGGTGGAAAGAACACGCCTTCTCCTTCCAGTTTTGCCAGATTGGCTTCGCAAAGGCGTGGCAGTACCGCCTGAAGGCTTTTCCACGGTCCACGGTCTTTTCCCGGAGAAGTTTGCTCTCAAGCATCTTGTCTGCCTTAATTCCCGAGATTTCCCCCAAAGCGCACCCGTGAGCAACTACCAGTCCAAAGAACGGACCGCACCGCACCGCACCGCACCGCAAGCCGACAAAGCGCCGAGTACTCTGATAAATAGTGCAGCACAACCACAGCCATGTCCATACAGCCAGCATCGGGCAATGGAGACCAACAAGCCAACCTTCAAGGGCATGAACAGCATGCTGATGAATTGAACAATGAACCGATAGCTGCTTCCGCCACAGGAGAATCTGCAAAAGATGAAGAGACACCACCGGAGACCCCAGATGGCCTGGACCCAAGCTTCTTCCAGTTATCTGAAGAGGAGAAGGAGAATGCTTTGGATATCAAGGATGCCGTTGAGGGCTTACCGGACCTAGACAACCTATCTGACTTTATGTATGCGAATATGGCTCTTGTGTGGGACGTTACCACATCAATAAAGCATGCTTACATCATGCAGGAAGTTAGAAAGGAGTACAAGATACTTCTGACATATGAAGATGGTGTCCGGGCCTTCACTGAAGTCATGGAACTCGTGCCAACATTTTTTTTGTCTTACATGTTTGATGTAAAGGACGCAAAGTCTGTGTTGGTAATGGACCTGAGTGTCCCAAAAAATGAAATGTGGAGAGACCCCAAGAAGATTGAAAAGTTTATGCGCTGCGGGTTCTACCTCTCTTACGCCACATTCCCTACCTTGGAGACTGTGAGGAAAGGCAAAACTGACATCTTTGAATTTGAAGGGTTTCAGTGGGGCAAAGGATGGGTTGAGCTGAGGTGGGCTGAGCACCTTACCAACCTGACCATTGGGGCATTTCCCTCCAATTTCCGAACACACTTCTATCACACTCCTGTAATGGGTATGTATGTGGTTTGACATCATTGACCTTATTTCATCATGTTCATTCTTGTTCCTTTCTTGTTGCTGTTGTTGTTGCTGCGGCTGCATTAGCAAATGTTTTTGTGTCTATGTTGAAAAAGATGCTCCCAAATGAAGTTGCAGCAAGGATTCATGCGGGATTTCAATTTGCCGGAGGGAGACTATCCAATTTCTACTTGCTACCAACACCTGAAGTTGCCGCTGAAAGAACCTTGGCAAATCTGTTGATGGGCCTCAAAATAAGGATGGACAGTGAGAAGATGTTTTCACTGGATGAACATTATGGAATACCTCAAGAAGAAGAGGAGGACTGATTGTGAGGCTGTCACCTGCTAGTAATTCTGTTTTGATTTGATGTGGGACCTTCCTGTTTGTGTAATGACTCAGTTCCCTTGCTCGCTTTGGACTGGGCTGCTTGGACGGAACATCCACAAATGCAGTAACATCCACAGTAGAAATAGTGACATCATGTGGTTGTCTCACCTGGCGAGTGCAACGAAGATTCTCGATACATGTATGCATAGATGCAACGACTACATGTCTACAATGCATCAAAAATGTCTAACTATATTAGTGCACACAGGTACAATACCTACGCACTCCAAGACGCCTTTCCTTCCAAGTACCGGGTATTGCTAAAATCAAAGAAACGTCGCCAAGCCTTGAGCTACCACCCAAAGGCTGGCATAGTTCAAGAACATCACTCGATCCCTCCAGCTTTTTCCAGCGGACGTTTTCGTACTTTGCTGTTGGTCGGATGATGTTGATGAACCTGTATTTTGCGGCGTGCTTTCTCGGCTGATAGTTTCTTCCGTACACATGTCGCTGGCTGCATCCAACAATGTCTGAGCGACAACATCGTCTTCAAACGCACAATCGTTTCGCACATATTCCAACAAATTGGTGTTTCGTTCTTCCGAGAAAGACTCTGTTTGTCGGCATGTAGGATGCGGTTCTGAAGCGGGGCAAGAACTGAGCTTGTCCACGCGATCCCAGCAATTCATTTCCTTTTGACAATTGTTTGATGTGCCTCCTGTCACAAAATAGGGACTGTTGGAATCGACCGGGTTGTACTCGATGCAGCAATTGACGGGGAATTGGATGTAAACGTAGTATGGATCCACCGGTGCCAGAGCCACTTCAAAGCTGATACAGTTGGGATCAGCACGGCACATTTGGTCGCAGGCTGCCATGAGCTCGTTGCCATACACCATGGCATCACCACTTTCATTTTCACAAGCAAAACATCCTCCCAGATTTAATCCAAAGTTGGCTTCCCCAACGACGGGCTCTGAAAATTGGCAGTCACTTTCTTCGCTATCTTGGCCATCTGGTGGTAACGCCTGCTCCATGCATTGTTGACTGGCGCTGTCGAGCAGCGATTGGTAGACAATATCATCAATGCCACACCCTTGCTCAATCAGGGTGACATGATCGGCTCCAACCTGCTCCGAGTACTCGTAGATTTGCCGACATTGGGTACTGAAGGTCTCTGAAGGACACGCATCAGTGGTATCCCGTTGTAGCCTCGTCCAGCAGTAAGTTTCCTTTTGACAGTTATTGGCTGTCCCTGGCAACACCAGGTACTCAGTCGCCGCATCATTGGTATCATATTCCAGACAGCAATTGCCGGATCCTCGGTACACACTCAAGGCATCCAGCGGCGACTTGGAGAATTCATAGGCTACGCAATTGAGATCTGCAGCACAGGTTTGTTTGCAAGCTTCTTCAAGTGCTTGGTCGGTGAGCAAGTTATCACTGTCATCATGGCAAATAAAGCACCCGCCTCGATTGTACCCCCAAAGGATACCCTCTTGCTCTTCAAAGCTACACTGGGCGGCGATTGGTGAGACAACTAATAGAAGGATGGAAGTTGCTAGTACAAGAGAGACTTGCATCATTTCAGATCATGAAGATAGAAGGCGCCGGTAAACGGGGAAGGGTTTGTTGTCCATGTTCCCAAGCAAGCAAAGTGCGCTTCTGTGGCTTCTTTGTCTGGGCTGGAGCATTGGTGAAAGATCTGATTCCCACGATTCAAATACCGGTTCTCCGGGCGACGTTGCGCTTGCCGTGGAGGCCCTTGCAAGGCCACGGAGATATCATGAGCTTTTGATTGCAATAGAAATGAGAAACCGGAACTAAAATGATAGAACACAACAACTATGTATGCGGGAGCGTGCCACCAATGCCAACTTACAACTGACTCCCGTTCGTTGTCGTAGTGTTACAGGTCTTTCAGAACGCACGGGATGTGCTTGTATCATGTAGTCTAAAGAAATAATACAGTGTACAGTAGGTGCGCCCACCGAATGATCAGTGTAATCTTGAGATGGCTGACAGGATGCCAGCAATGCACAGCATTCTTACCCAAGTTATCATGGTGCCGCTCCTGATTATTTAAAAAAAAATCATTGCTTGGATCATGGTGCTCGAAGCAAACAGCCAAGCATTCTTCGGTCCAGGAGCTGCTGAAGGCACCGATTGACGATGCCTTGTGAGGACTTAAGCAGCCGCCCAGGATGTACTTTTTGAGTTTGTGATTTGTGACTGGATTTGAGGGTGAATTGCTTCGCTCCGCCGTTTCAGGTGTCTAAAGCAAGTACTAGAAGTTTCCGCGTTTGCTTCCGCGGTAATGCACTTCAAGAGCGCTGCTGCTTTCGCACAATTTATTTGACATGGACTGAGTCGAGTCGGGCAAGAGATGTACTCCCCAGATGCAACCGTACTGACACCTAACGAGAGCTCCCAGCTCAGCGCACCTCAACTACTCTAATTGGCATCTCCGTAGCTCCGTACCGGAAGGCAGGGAAGCGTTCTTCTGTCCAGCCAGCTGAAGGCACCGATGGACGCCTTTGAATGAAACTGAAAGGACGGAAGTGTATACATACATCGATTTGAGAGTGTGTTCTTGTGTGACGTGACGTGAGGTGTTTCAGTGCAGCTACCGTACTAGCTAGTAGTAGAAAAGTAGTTTCCGCGTCGGTGCACTTCCAGAGCACTGGTTTCGTACGTACCAGGTAGACTACCGAAGAAGCATTGTGCTCCCAAGTTGCTTTCGCTTGAGATAGACTGTCACTGGACTGGACTGAGGCAAGAGAGGTTATTCCCCAGATGGCTACTGTACCACTGACGAAGGTTCAGCTCCCAGCGCACCTCAACTAGCTAGACTACTCTAATTGGCAGCTCCTTTGCCAGGGATATAGTTCTTTGCGGAGCTACATACTACATGATTGGATATTTCCGTGATTTCCAGCACAATCATAGACTATTGTTAGTGAGCTAGTGGCTAGCTAGCTAGAGACAACCTTCCTGGAACAAAATACTGTAATAAAAGCTGCTACTGATGCATGAAATAATAATAATATAAAATCAATCGAATTGGCCCTTTCTCCGTTTAACCTCACTGACTAAGTAGCCATATGCAATGGCTAGCCAGTTGGGGTGCCCTTGCACAACTGCAACAAATTTTGCAGAAGTCTCACTCACTCACTCTTCTTGTGGTAATAGTACAGGCGGCCACGTCGGCAGATTCCCCCCATACTTGGCCGGCAAATGATCGACCTGACAATAGACGAGCACCGCTTGTAAATCTTTTTCCTTTTTGAGTGGTTGAATGATGCGCACCTTTTGCAACAATCGTTTTGGCAGAAAGGGTTTTAAAATGGCAAATACGACATGAATCCATTTGGGGGCATTCACGACGAGCATTTCGCCCAACAATTGGGGATATTTATCTTCCAGACATTTCGCCGCGGCGGCATCTTGTTTTTTGGCTTCCTTGTGAATCATGCGCTGGTGGGTTGTGGAACCGTGACAATCGGCAATACTGAGGTATTTGGTGAGACGGCCCGTCGTGCGCGTCTTGTAATCGAGCCATTGGAATTTCCATTCCGTAAAGAATAAATGGGCGTCAAAATAATCTGCTTGATGAAGTTGTTGTGCCATGGTATGTTGGTTGCGTCCGGCCAATTGTAAAAATCCGACGAGCGGCCCTCGTAAATCGGGATTGTAGTAAATCATAGTGTGGTCGCTGTCATAACACGCCATCATCTTTCCCGCGCCCTGGGCAAATGGTGGTGCTGTTGTCGCCAGCAATGCTGGACTGGTGACGGGTATCAGTCGAATGTCAATCTCATCGAGTTTATGGTTGTGACGAAATTGGAGTGTGGATTTGGCCGCCTCGGCAGCGCGTTTACTGTGTTTCATGCCATGACTGAGTAGGAAACGGAGGACCCATAGATCATCGTGTTTGGCCGGATCGTAGAGCGGATCGTCTTGCAGCTTGTCGCGGACTTGACGGATTTCCGAGGAGTGCGCCGCCACCAATTCGTTGACGGCGGGACGTTTGTCATGGTCGCTAATCAAGTCAATCGGATCGTCGAGACGACTCTTGGCGTGGGCCATCCACGGCCAGATACTGCTACTCGTACTGCTATTGCTAGTAGGACAACCATCGTAGCTCGCACAAGTGTCCACCACAGACGAGGAGGAACTGGACGACGGAGATTCGGGCATCTTTGTTGTTGTTGTTGTTCTCTTGTTGTCTTGTCTCTTCTTGTTCTTGAATGGTCGATCGTGAATTGAATCTCGGGCTTTCACGATCAGTCGCGTAGCACAGAATCCTATTCTTCCTTCAACTCGGTGAATTCAAACTCCGACAACAGAAAGAGCTTCTGATCTCTCGCTCTAGCTACGTCAGCTACAATGAACCTTCTTCTTCCACCCTAACGAGCTCTACTCCAATTGCATGCAGAACGCAGCAATGGTTCTAATCTGGAAGGTCAGTAGTTAGTTATTAGTTGTGAACGGTTTGCTAGTTTGTTGTTGTTGTGTTTTTTGTTGGCATGCAGAACATGCAGTTCACGCATTTGAACCAGGCCAAAAATGTGCTGGCGACCAGTGCGCTGTTGTACCAGTGGTACAGTAGTCTACCGGTAGTACAGTACTTACAAGACTTCCCGTACGCAATGACGGACTGCGTGGCAGATTACCGGTACATACATGTCACGCAATTCAAATGTTGAAAAGGTGTGAACTTGAACGCACAATTTCTCTAATTTAATCAATATCCTTCCAGCTCTACTGTCTAGTAGACTGGCTATTCGTTTCGTTTTTCTCTTTCTCTCTCGTTCAGATTGTGAGCTCTACAACTGAGCTCGATATGCATACATATACCAGGATCTTTCGATCCTCTGCTTCTCGCAGTTTCATCTACAGATAGATCTCGTCGATCTATCTTCCTGAAGTGCATGGTTGGCCCTGGAGGGCTTTCCCACTTTACTAAACCTATGGACCTTCATCCGTCGTTTATCTCTCTCTTTTCC